TAAAGTAATTATAATATATGACATTACAATGTATATTATATATGCTAGTTAATTTGGGAGACAAGTATGGCGAATACAATGTGTATTCTGAAATTTTCTCAACATTTCAAAGAACAGTGTCTCCATCTTAGGTTAGTTCAAACAAAGTTTAATTTAAAAAAATAATTTAAACGAATAAAATTATATGCTTATAAATAATGAAAACTCTTACAAGGTGGGCTTACTTTTGTTTTTTTTTCCTTGAAAAATGATCATTACTCAGAAGTCATGATTATAAGCACACCTGCCCTCATTTTAGAAGCATTTAATATTTTTGTCAAGTTCCAGTGCAAATAAAAACTAATGTGCAAGCACCTGAAATAAGCCAGTTGTGTTCAAGGGACAACCGAACCAAATTTAGAGTTTGAAATAACTTTGAAAAGAATTTACATTTTATTTCAAATAAACGAATTTTAAAAAATAAACAGATTTGATAGCGATTAGAGAAGATTGATATTTATAAATTCATTTATCATCCACTCAACATTCACTAAGTATGTCTGCATGAGAAGCATAATATATTTGAGATTCCATGAATTTTGACCTAATCCCTACTTCACTGCAGTGTCCAGGGTGATAAAGTGTTGCACAGTGAGGGGCTGTAGTCCACGTGACAAGTGCTATGCCGTGACTATTGTGGCACACGGGAAAGCAGTACATTCATTTCTGCAGTTTCTTCCACTGATCAGATGCAAAGCATGATGCCTTTTTTCTTTTTTAATATATTTAGTACATGGTCTAAAGGTTCTACAGGGTCCCACTATACAGATCGGACTTAATGATCCTTTGTTTTATTCAACCTCCCAGGCACTGGGAATTCAGGCGCAGGCCACCACACCCAGTCATCATCACAGACTCAGCAAGCCCCAGGGGTGGGGCCAGGATGGCAGGCCAGGGATCAAACCCTTGGCCCCTGCATCTGCCTAAGCAGGCACTTTAATCCACTGAGCTATCTGGCTGGCCTTCATGATGCCCCCCCCCCTTTTTTTTTTTGGAGAGCAATTCTTCCTCTGCCCCAGCATCTCCATGACTCTTGAATTAAGGGTCTTCCTTAACCAAATGAAGTTTTGTGCTTGACCCCAGAGAGACAGTAATAATAAATAAATACCTACCACTTGCTTTTCAACACCCATGTGTTAACACTCTTAAACCTGAAAAATATCCGATGAGGTCTGGACACTATTCTCTCCTTTCTAAAAATAAGAAAACTTCCACAGAGAAGCTAGGTGCTTTGACTATTATCATTCAGCTAGCCAGCGGGAGAGCTTACTTCTGTCTAAGCCAGTCTAATATAGCATCTAATATAGGGTTTTGGAGCATGCTGTCTTCCTGACATCATTGTTGTTCTTGGCATGGATGGACTCAGCGTCTGGGGCATTTGTTCTTCGATAAATTCTCCAGGTGATTTATTTACACATTGCACGCATAAACCTTCTCAAACCTTTTACCATTCCACTTTCACTTAAAAGGTCAAATGTTGAAAGAGACAAAGATAGGGAAAATCCATTGTTCTTTTCTATGAGAAATTATGTTATTTCAGCCAAAGCTGAAAGTCTCGTCATATAGCCAATGGGGATAAGATAACAAAAGGTTTAAAAACTAAATTCACTGATAGATAATTATATTAGCAGTCTTCCTGAGAAGTATGAGTCTTTAAAATGTAGATAGAAGGTATGTTAAGGAGGTACACTTTGCAAACTGACCAAGTTATACCTCAGTATTCAGAATTTGAAATGAAAATTTAATTTTGATTAAAATTGGGAAATTTCAAGATAATGTTATCATTTCTTATAGCAAAATGTGAGAAAGTTTTGGGTCTTTTTATAGGAACCCACAAACTCCAAAGTTTGTTCTCTTTATGTGTGATGTTCAGTTCAAATTATTTGTAATAAAAGTTTGAGATAAATAAATGGAGTTAACAGAAGTCAATGAAGTCGTAGCTGACTTTAACCATTGTTCTCTATGTACACATTTTTATTTAAATAATTTTATCTCTGAGTTTATTTTTACTTTTGCCAATCCATGGAAAATAATTCCTGAGGGCTGGCCAAATAGCTCAGTGGACAAAGTGCCTGCAAGCAGGAGTAGGGACCAGGAGCCTTCCATGCTGGCCCTGCCCCAGGGTCATGCTGAGACAGCAATTGAAACTGGGCATGCATCTGTAATCCCAGCTCTTGGGAGACTGTAAACCAGAGGATCACTATGAGTCAAATCTAGTAGTGAGACCCTGAACACCCTGTAGACCCTTCCCTAAAATACAAAGAAAGAAAGAAAGAAAGAAAGAAAGAAAGAAATTCCTACTTTAATATCATATTATTTTATTAAAATATGATATTAAAATATTCTTCGATATTCAGATTATCACAATTTGTTTTTAAAAATGGATTTGTGTCTTGTATGGAAATTTCTGATATGTAGATACTATTTCCCCCCTCTATTTATTTTTTTTATTTTGGGAATGTACTGGGAATGAAACTCAGGACCTCAGGCTTGCCAAGCAAGTGCATGCCACTGAGCTAAATCCCTAGATTGCCCCTTTATTTTCTACAAGACTGAGTTATGTTATTGTATCATTAGAATATAAATTCCTTCAATTTTAGGAGCTCAGGATGAGCTGTCCATGTGATGGATTGGATATAGCATGTGAAAAGCACTTGACCACCTTTATGACTACATACATACATACATACATGAAGATGTTCATGCACATGTATAAGGTTTTAGATTCTTTGCCTCAATTATGTATTAAGAGAATATTTTAGGGTAAATATTGGTGACAGTCTAAGCATATTTCATAAACTTCAAAACCAAATAGTGTAATTTTTAAATATAAACCTCACTAATCTATATGTTTTATGTTAGGTTATAAAGTAGGAAACCTTTACAACTTTATTTTCTCATCTTTGAAATAAACAAAGCATTACCTGTCTGATAGGAATGTTAGGCAGTTTTTGTAATTATAAGCAAGTAAGTATTTCCCTCTTTTGAGAACAGGACAAATTTTATTTGTGCTTATTTTTTCAATACCATGTATTATAAATAATCACATTTTTATAAATTTTCTACACACTATCTATGAAAAGACTGTTCATGAACTGGCCAGTGGGCAAGCATACTATTTGTGTATGTGTTTTAATATCAAATAACTTACAGACATTATTTCTTCTGTAGTACTTCTGTTATTTTAACTTCCATATCAATTTTGGTAAATTATATAAGGTAGTGAGTCAATTAAAAATATAATATTGATATTTGTCAAAAATGTTGATAGAAGCAAAAACAAATAGTGCTAGTAAATAGTCATATATTGTCTAGCTGAAGCTATGTTATAGATGTGCTTTTACTCTTCTGTCAAATATTTTTACAAAAAGAATGTGCCGTGAGGACTTCTCCCAGCATGTCACAGACAGAAGAAGATGAAAAACGATTTAGTGTGGTAGACCCTCTACAGTTGAGAAGTAAAGAAAAATTAACCAAACAAGGGATGTTATGACAGAGAGTCAACCAGCAACACTTTAGTTTTGGCAGACAGGGTGAAGACTTTGGAGGAACAAAGAGTGGAGGTTCAAGGCCTGGGAAAGCTGCAGGGAGACTGACTAGAAATGACTTACTGGATGTACATATTTGGCTTTCTCTAGTGTATTAGGTTAGAAGAAAGGTCAAAATTAGGGAAACTCAACTCTGAACCAAGTTCTGGCCATCAGAGGGTAATTGTTACTGAAGTTCCTGGGTGCTTTGCAGAGTCCTATTGGAGAGTTCAGAAGCAGAAGGAGGAGCATTATTGCTTTCTACAAACTTATCTAGTTTAAAGTAATCTGAATTCTGGACCTGTTCACTATGGACTAGGAAGGAGGTTGTTTTCTGGCTAGGTTGCTGTAAGTTGTGGGTTAGATTTTATTTTTGCATATACTTATACTATTTACTCATTGTTTATTCAGTCTGTCAATTAGTTCAAGGTTCCATATAGACCTTTCTTTTCTTGATATGTGTAAATAGGTACTACCTAATATTTTCAACTAAATGTTCAGTACAATTTTTAATTTTCTGCATCATGGGATAGATATATAGTTACATTCTGTTAATGAATAGAATGATTTGTTCTAATGGTGTTTGTAAATAGGATCACAAGTCCGCATCTTGTATAGCAATTAACCACTAAGAAGAATATATGCAGTGTATTATTTGTTGAAAAATAAAAAAAAAACATAAGCATCTAAAAGGAAAAAAAAAGATGGAAAATTCAGTCTTTTTTTCCTTTTAAGACATCTAGATTTATATTTCTTGATAGAATTAATTATATGTAAATGTAACCATGATGAATAAAGTGCAAATAAACTGAGACAACAGAGATATTTTAGTTGTAATGACATCACAAAATTTAATTTTATTTGAAAGCTTCATTGTATTTTTATAGAGGAAGACATGGTATCATTGTGGAAGGATCATATAGTTCTTTGTGATGAAAATTTAAGGGATTAAATACCCCTTAATTTCTTTCAAATTACATAATTTCCTGACTATATACAATTATGTGTCAGTAAAAATAAAATCCTACAAGCTTACCTACCTCAGTTATACAGATCAGGTTGACAGCAGAGGAGCTGTAGCTCCTCCATGTGATGAAAGGAGTAGATTATCACAATTTATCCTTGTTTCTATCCTGTTGTTACTGTATTTATAAATTTATATTTGTACACAAAT